CTTGCTTGAGAAATAGATTGCCATATATATACGGGATGATGGCGAGAGACAAGCAGCAAGCGGCTTACGTACTAAGAAGTATGCGCATGCCCGAGTTCGTATGACGCCGTATATATCTGCAGATAATAACCGACGTTTTGACGAATGCTTATTGAGTAAAAGATACATCTGTCATGCTAGGCAATCATCGGATATTAACGCATCAAAACGTCGCCATCGGCAAGCGAGAATTGGAGACAGGATTTTATCAAGAGCTCTTGATTTTATTAAGCTGCACGCTCATAATTATTACTGATTATTTAGTTTAAATTTAAACGTACAAGTCAACGTAACGTGTTTGTGTGACAAAGCACTGAAATATTTAAAACTGGCAATACATGCTGTACGTAACATTTATTCTCTTATTCACTTTGCATCTTTATTACATTGATGTGATCGTGTGTGGCTCCCATATAGTTCCTCCACGTCCCTTTCCTCATGTTTATGAGTCTGTACGTGGCTCATATAAACCATCAATGTCTCATGTACACCCTGATTCGCTTCGTCATGGTCTCTTCAGATAAGATTCGCTATCTCCCACATTCGCCCATGGCTTTTCAAGCCTGACAATCTGTCGCCCTATAGCTACCTTTTAATTTCTCATAAAAAGGCATGTCGTATTAAAAATCCCATGAATTATTTCCAGCAGTAATTTTTTTCCGCATGAAAAATTGATGAGTGATTTTTACAAGGTACCGCAGACGGTAATTGGTTCATTAGGCCTTCATGATATGTAATATTAGCTATAAAGTCTTCTACCATCTATGATTTTGTTCGGATAGTGTATAGTGCTTGTTATCACTATAATGACGCAATACACATATTTGACGAGCGCACGTACAAAGTACAATAGGATGTCACGTTCATGTTAGGTTAAAACCGGATGTTACTGGTGCCAGGTTTTTTCTCTTGACCTTTACAACATTTGTTAAACTGTTATAATTTATTTGTTTAACTGTTATATCATATTTGTTTATCTAAGTAATATGTATGTAAATATGTTAAATAGATAGGGCTGCATTGATAATCAAGTTCACACAGGTTTTACAGTTGAGCGTTTGTTCTTGATTTAGTATTTGCAATTGGATAATTGCATGATTTCATGATATAAAATAGGCAAGCAAAATAGTTTGCTTAACTAAAGAGAAGCAAAGTTAGCACAGGAAATTGCGAGATTAAATGTCAAAGGCAATTCTCATAACAGTTAGTGTAGCTCTAGAACTATATTATAGCTCTTCGCTCTGCCACAGGGAGGAAGGGAAGGGATGTGCTGAAGGAGCGAAGGGTTATAGTTCTAGAGCTAGGTTTAGTGCAGCATTCTATTGGTGGTAGTTCACTCGATTATCTGCAATGCAACGATGTGATACTCGTAATTATGTCTCTGCTTAATCATATTAGTAACAATTAAGTGTAATCATAATAGACCGTGGGCCGAGCATCCAAAATGTGTCTAGATTTTAACTTTCGTGACCCACCTCTGGTAGCTACATGAATCTTTGCATAGAATTAGGTATGAAAATCACCAAGAAAGAATTCATAACTCGTCAGAACAAAAGGTTGCACATTAATTAGCTATGGTAATTATCAAACACTATAGCGCCATCTTATGTCCATTATTAGATAGTTGTGTATTACTCTATGGGAGTTATGAACATGATGAGTAATAATTATAGTCTGTATAGATGGGAAAATCGTACAGAAGAGTGAGTGATAGAGGCCCTACAAACATGAAGCACATACACACACACACGCCCGCGCACACACACACACATACACGCACACGCACACGCACACGCACACGCACACGCACACGCACACGCACACGCACACGCACACGCACACGCACGCACGCACGCATGTACGTGGGGGTAATCTACTCCTCGTCCGAGTCGTCTTCATCAGAATCCAACTCTCATTTTCATTTTCAACAATCATTTCATTTCAATTTTCAACTTTCATTTTGTAACAATCGAGTTTCTGCAGTCGACGCACTTGCACAGATCTGTATATGACACACCATGCTGTCGACAAGAACACCGTTCTTTGCCAGTGCCAGACGGTTTCTCACAGTTGGTTTTCTTGCAAGAACAGTAAGTTAGTTCAAGCAAGCTGCTTGGAACTGGGGCGGATCACCCCAGTCCATGTCTATAGTATCATCTATACTTTTCTACCCATGTCCATTTGGACTAGGAATATTTGAAAACTGTTCTAGACATCGCAAGTGCACAGCGACCTGGTAGGTAGATTTATGATGTGCTTTTTCAGAGAATCTTCTGTTGGTGGCAATTAAACGCGATTCTGTCAGGGTTAACGATTAGCATGATGAACAAATTGTACCTCGCTCTCACACAGTCCTGTCCATACATTTTGCAAACAAATCTTTCCATACCTTTCATCAATTCATCACTGACTGTGAATGAGAATTCACTACCCAGTGCAGTCTCTCTCATTCATTCACAGCCACAGTTCCATTAATTAGCAGCTCAGTTCAGTCACGGACTAACACAACAGTAGACCGAATAATTCTGTCCCAGATAACGTTTTATATTTTGGATGCGTTATATACTGTTATACCAGTATAACGCATCCAAAATATAAAACGTTATCTGGGACAGAATTATTCGGTCTAACACAACAATAACACGTACGTACACTGTACATGCAACCACCAATCACATGATCATGAAAACATGCCTGAAATTAGATTCATCATTTTTGTAAATAGCAATAGATTAAAAGCAATACTAATAGAGAGCCTACCTTTCAGATCCTTTGCCTTTAACAATATCATCAACATTGAAATCGGCTGATAGTGCAAGCCCCTCTCCTAGTCCCACGCCTATAACCGGCTGTGTTGTTGTTACCTCCGCCAAGGGGTTGGCAGGAGGTTATGTTTTCACCGGCGTGTGTTTGACTGTTTGTTTGTGGGTTTGTGGGTTTGTTTGTGTACAGCCATTACATTGGACGGATTGTCATAAAATTTTCAGGATAGGTCAGAAATCGCCTAACTTAGAATTGATGAGATTTTGGTGGTGATCCGGATTCAATTAATTAATTAATTAATTAATTAATTAATTGTTCAGGATAGGTCAGAAATGGGGTAACTCAGAATTGATTACATTTTGGTGGTGATCCGGATCCAATTAATTGTTTAATTAATTAATTAATAAATAAAAATTTTCACTTAATTAATTAATTTAATTTTTCACAGTGAGACAATTCAGCTGCCTTGGCGGAGGCCTGTGCTCTCCGTGTGCTCTAGTTCTACTTGTTCTACTTGTTGTAGTGCATTGACAGCAACATTGCTTTCAAGGCTTCCTTCCACAGCTATCCACTTGGCAGCACATTCCCGGAATATACTTTTTCACTAAATGGAATCACTTAATTTGCTGTGCGTATTGGTGACATGCATGAAAAATGCGGAATCCTGAAGAACTGCCATCAAAATCATCGGCAGCACGAGCATCTGACGTACATCTGAGAACAATATATACTGTATATACATTGTATATATTGTTCTCAGACCACTGATCTCTATAATATATTAACCTATATATAATAAGATTATATATTATAATCTCTAGTTATATTATAGAGATCAGTGTCTCAGACGTACATTGTACGCCGCCATGATAGCTAGTGAAGTTGTTGCGCGCGATTGGCTGATTAGCGCTCGAGCATAAATATATCAAACGCGCTGTGATTAGACAATGTTCATAAACAAGATTGTCACAATTTTGGCTGTTTTTTTTATAATGAATTATTCATGAAGATATGATTATCTTTAACTCGAGAAAAAGATAGTCCCACGCCTAGCCGGCTGTGTTGTTGTTGTTGTTGTTGTTGTTGTACTTGTTGTCGTGCCTTGACAGCGATCTTGCTTTCAGCCTCAGGGCTTCCTAGCTTCCACCACTACCCACTTGGCAACACATTCCCGGAATTTCTTTATAATTTTTTCACTAAATGGAATCACTTTGCTGTGCGTATTAGCATCTGACGTACATGTACGCCGCCATGATAGCTAGTGTGTTGTTATGCCGGCCGGGCTGCTTAGCGCTCGTACATAAATATATCAAACGCGCTGTGATTAGACAATGTTTATTTGATATATTGTCACAATTTTGGCTGTTTTCTCATGAATTATTCATGAAGATATGATATAATATATGATATGATATAATATATGATATGATATTATCTATTCTTTAACTTGGGAAAGATTAAGTTCCTCGTATTTTTCACATTTAATTTCCTCTGCCCCTCTTTCTTCTAATTGTTCACTCTTCCATCTGAGACCAATCTTACTCTTTCCATCATTCGAATCTTAACCATGAGTTACTCCCCTTTGAATACAACTAATATGAAATGTCTTTGGCTTGTCCACCACCATATGATGCCTGTTCGTAAATGCTAACGCCCTCAATTCAATTGTCAACATGGAAGTCAGTATTATATTGGGAGGTTGGACTCTCGGGAAATACAATATATATAAGGTCATGCGATGGGCGTGGGATGAATTGTGATTACTCGTCCATTCGCTGACCTAACTAAGTAAGTGTGATAGAACGCCATAGCTTGACCGTGTTAACAAGAAAATCTATTCACTAAGATTTCTGCACACATACGTACAGCCTCTCAACTAATTCCTTCATATAGTAGTAATAAATACTAAGTATAAATGTATTAAAAGATGAAATCGAAAATGTAACGTAACAAATATAAGTGGATGACGTGTAATTGAAGGTGTAATAACTACTCAGCATCCCACCCTCACACGCGACAGATTTGCACCTACACATACACGCACGCACCCGCGCCCGATCACAAGCTCGCACTCTGAGCAAATATCTCATCTGACAACCATATAATTATTCAACTATCGTCACAAGGAATTCATTCTATCTATTTCTATTCACATCGTCGTCGTTAAGCGTTCTACATGTCGTCTGTTTCTGTTATAGGCTGCTACACTGTGCTGCAGAGGAGAGGAGATAAGCTGACAGGGAGAGAGCAAGAGAGATAAAGAGAGCGAAAGAGAAAGAGAGAGAGAGAGAGAGAGAGAGCGAGAGCGAGAGAGAGAGGCTGATTGTGGAGACGGGGGTCACGGTGGGGTTTCATACAGCCATGGAGCCACTCATGACCGAGGCTCACTGCTCAACCGTATCACGAAACCTCGAGGATATAAGGTACGTGCGTTTCAATGACATTATATTAATTACTATGTACTCGTATTTAAAATAATGTTATTAATTAATGATAATATTTAATATTTCATCATTATTAATATCAATACTTAATTATCATATTAGCATATCTAGCTACGTTACTTGGCATTATGTAATATTACATTACATTATGTACCTAGTACCGCATTGCACTAAATTGCAGTTCATTATATTACGTGCATAAGTTATTATATTAATTTGTCGGTTGTTACGCGCTAACAATGCACCAGTAAATAATCAAATATCGGAGGGTCAAACGTAGAGTAGCTATAATAATTTTATAGTTTTGTGCGATTAATTCGGCGGCATGGGAACAGTATCCAGGTTATGACACTTAAGCATTAAATCAAGACAATGATGCATGTGTTTGTTTACATATATATCTGTTTACCTGCTTGATATTGCGATGAAACAGGGAGGCAATAAATTATCCGATGCGTACGTCGAACATTGTATTATTCATAATCTATTAAGTATATCTACCAAGACTTTTTATAAAGTATCTCTATGCTGGCGATGGCTCACATAAAAGGCGAATGGTCTCACTTCTTTCCGAACGAAGACCTTTGTTAGGTTTTATCTAGTTACGTTCCTACTCGAGTTTCTATTCCCAAAGAACTAATTAAATTCGCCTATTCGAATCGCCGCTGCACGCTTGTGAACGTTCGCCTCTCGAGAAACCTCAATATTTAACCAGCACATAATGCTTAGAGACGGCGATGGAAGATTAAATGACTAATTAGTACGTATTACGTAATTAGGGAGTAGAGACTCGCCTGCGATGTGCTTCTAACGTGTATTGTGTGTGTGTGCAGGGATGAGGACGTCGAGGCATCGCTGAGACTACTTGACGATGTTCTAGCGGAGTTTGACTTTGATTCGATCAGTCTTCATAGTAACGGTGAAGGCGATGAGAGTGGCGGCAAGCTGAGCAGAGCCGGAGAGACGGCCAGGGTAAGAGCCTTTATCTACGTTCAATCGCTGCACGCACGCGCGCGCGCACGCGCACGCACACGCACACGCACACGCACACGCACACGCACACGCACGCACGCACGCACGCACGCACGCACGCACACACACACACACACATTATACATATTATATATATATATATCAGGAGTAGATAATAGGGAATTATTATTTATTCCTATTATCCTATATACCCTATTATTTACTCCTGAATATTATATATATATATATATATATATATTATATATATAATATACATGCACGCATACATATATATTGATTCGAATGGCTGCGGTTTCTCGCGTTTTGCATCATCGGTGAATATCTACGTGTTTGATTTCGACATCGGTGATTTCAGCGCGCGGATATTAACTTAATTGCTATGTGCCCGCTTCGTTATCCGATCTCTATTGCTGCGTACAGTTACTGTATTGGGACCAGCCATGAGGGTGAGACACACGCACAGAAGGAGAGAGAGAGAAAGAGAGAAAGTGCGAGGGAGAGAAAAAAAAGGGAGTGAATGGGGAGACAGAGAAAGAGAAAAAGAGAGGGGGTGTGAAGCGAGCGAGAGACACAGAGACAGAGATAGATAGAAGGGAAGGAGAGCGCGCTCGGACGAGCGAGAGCGAGAGAGAGAGAGCAATCGAAAAATGAGAGAGAGAAGTGTGTGTGAGGGAGAAAGAAGCCCGCGATTGAGAGACCGGCGAGTGAGTCAACATTTCCCGAAGTCGACTCGCAGTCGCTCAGTATTTCTTTCAGGTCTTTCTCAATCGCGCGTCGTCCAATTTGGCGCACTCGCAGAAAACACGGGAGCTATACGTCGGTTTCAATTCCTCCCACATACGCCTGTCTCCCGGGAATAATAATTGAACATGCGCTCGGCGGCAAGTTTCAATATCTGCTGCTGTCGTAAAGTTCTGTCCAAATCTGTTATTCGGTGCAGCGAATCCTCAGTGCTCAGTGTTCTGCTGGCGTGCGTCTTTCATCGTGCGCTGACGTCGTGTGCGGGTCTCTCACGGGGAATGCAAAGCAGAACTCGGAATTCCATCATGGCGAACAAGCGCCTTCTGCAGCTCGATGAATCCTTCTTTACGTGCGTGTCCTCGAGACCATGTAGTTATTTTTGTAGAAGCGGATTTTAAATATCGCAGACGCTAAATAATGCATTCGAGCAATCGGGAGATTTTGGCGTTTGATTTCAATGGCTAACTTCTGCAAAACTCCCACCATCGGGTCCTTACCGACCCAAGAATGATTATTGTGCGCAGGCCCGTTACATGGGTAAGACCAAGGCCGATTTCAACCCGCATAGGCGGATACTGAGAATAATGCTGGCTAACACTGAGCGCGTGTGCGTGGTGGGTAGGGGGTTCTATAACGTCGGGTCACCATAAGGTGCACGGTTGTGGTCCACAACACGTGTAATGCACGTGGACGTAGGCGCTAATGTTTTAATGGCAGGGAGGCTTGATCGTTAGCTATGATTCAGTGCGGGTTATGACTCAGATGCGAGCCAGACCGCCGCCAGCCAGCCACGACTACAGAGGAAGCCAGCGGAGACTGCCACGTAGCGCGTGACTGGAGAGAGAAAGCCTGGTCTGTCTGGTGAACTGATTCACCTACTACCAGCTTAGCGAGTGCGCCTACTGAGATTAGGAGGTTCATATGGGTTCTCAATTCGTATAAAGTCCTGACCAGATTACTTTGGCTACACTACACATTAAATTTCCCTCGTAACTTACTCATGCATGAGAGAGATGAAGCGCGTGGGCAGGAGAAAGAATTGGAGAGAGAGAGAAACAGAGAGGGGGAAATATAAAGATGAAGAGAGAGGGAAAGAGAGACTGAGAAAGGAAAAGAGAAAAGCAGTGCAAAAAACACTGACAGAATAAAACCGATAAAGATGAAAGGTACATAAGAATATTATAAAAAGGAAGCATAAAAGTGATAGAACAGAAACGGAGATAAATGTAAGCAATTTAAGATAAAAGCATGCAGCGAACACGCGACACTCCCCCCAATAATACTGAGTACATAGGCTCTGATGACCGTGTTTAATTCCCTACCCGTTTAGCGAGTTATAGCTAGCCCACTATTGGTTATTGAAATTGACAGAAACTGAAGTACACTTGCTAAGCAAATCGTAGTCTATACATTATAACGGCGATCTGCATTTCCTGCCTCTGTCTGTCACACGGGGCTGTAGTTTGTTCCATGCCTCCGTCTGTCACTGGAAACTACAGAGTCAGTTGCCTCAATGCCTCACAAGAGGCTGCCCTGTTCGCTGATTCTGTTTTCGTAAACGTGAAATAATAAAAATGAAAAGCGTTCAGTCTCAGCTATAGGTCTGCCTGACACTTGCTTATAGCTAAACGCGTACGCTACGAAGTAAGTGAGAATGCAGTAAATCCAATGCTTTCCATAACTCTGTAATAAATCACAAATAAGCTTTCGTATGATGACTACGCATGGAAATATCAATATCAATCCTCTGTAAAAAAGATTTGATCGCGAAAGGATCTATCTGCCATTTTAATGGCACATCGCAGCTACAAAAATATCGATGGAATTCCCTTAATAGTTCATAAGACATATCGCGTGATTATAAATAATGTAAATAATCAGGTAGTGTCAGCGAGAAACATAATTATGTTGGAAGTTGACATGATTCAAATGTGTAAATTGAGTAAATTGTCTGTGTATATTTGTTCAAATTTTAGAGAAATGTGTTGACTGTCATATTGATGAGGATAATAAGAATTGTATACGCAATGCTAATAATTTATTGTTCTAAAGAGATGGCAATGTGCACATAAATGACAGTGACACGTTTTCAGATTGTGACAATCGCTTTGAAAACAACTTTAACATTCTAAAAGGTATCACTTATGTTCGATGCTAAATCCAACAAACAGAAGAAAGTACGACAAGAAGATTAGTGAAGCGAAGTAAGTTTGTGTTCACACTCGATTAGGGATTCCTTGAGGCGAAGAATTTAATGCTCATGCAGGGACCTGTTGTCAGAAACATCAGGCAGCAGGCGCGCCGGAAGCAGTTATGGATTGGGGAGGGGGCAAAGACCTAAGGGGGCTCACGATTTTTTTAAAATAAGTATTTGTAATAAGGATAAGTAATTGTAATAGAAATGGAATGCCACTATTCACTCAAGATTTGTTTTGTTCTGTTTTCTA